CAATGCCGTCTTTCCAGTTCTGGCATGGGGTGTTGATTGGGATCGTCCCTTCTGCTGTAGCACATCTGCGGTTGGAGGATCTCCGCTCAGAATACCTTTTATTAAAACAAAAACCTCAAAACTGCTTAACGTGTACAGTCTAGGGACTATAAATCCCATCAGTCAGCTTTGGAGGGCCGATGGGGGTTGCTCCTCTTGCAGCAGTGGCTGCTTTGCTTTCCTTCAGAATAGGGGTGTCTCCCCCCCCCCCGTTAAAAATTCAAGCCCCTTTTTTATGGTTCCCAAAACAAACCAACAAACCCCCTCCCAGTAAACAGTAACAGAGTTGGAAGGGACTTTGGATGTCATCTAGTCCAACGCAGGAGGCCTGTACAAGGGATTCGAACCACAGAACTGCCGACCTTTCTGATCACAGAGGACCCTGGGCTAAATAGTGGGACGCTGATTCCCAGAGTTGGCCAAACCCAGCTTATTGCTTCATAAAAATCTTGTTTTCTTTCCATGTGCTGTTAGAGCAAAATTGCAAAGGAAAAAACTGGTCTTTGGGATATTGGACAACTACAGTATAGTTTTCAGCAGTCCTTGCTGGCAGGAGTCACTAGGCATTGTAGTCCAGCAACATCTGGCAGCCTAGCATTTTCCTGCATGCGATTAAATTTTACACATTGTTTTGCTAAATTCATAACCCTTTAAATGATGCATAAGAGAGATCTCTCTATCGGTAAAACTCAGTAAAGTTTTCCTTCGTTCGGGCTCTTCTTTTTCTCACTTCATAGACCTGAACAGCTAATTTTCTTCGCTGCAATATAAAAGCTATTTGTCGTCATTTTCTTCTAGGTTTTTTTTTCAAGTTCCCAGTGTAGCTTATAATTCTGGATTTCCTTGCTTAAGTTTTCCCATTGTAAGAATTCCATGGCAGTAGCTATTGATGGAGGAGATGACATTGGTGCTCCCTCCGCCGCCCAATTGGCTTTTTTTAAATTTTCTATTGAATGGATTGTTTTATTCTAAAATTTTTATATTGTATAGCAATACAATATAAAAGATGCTTGCTCCTGGGGAGGAAAGCTATGGCAAATCTAGACAGCATACTAAAAAGCAGAGACATCACCC